ATTTAATTTTGCTATCTCTTATATGAACTGAAATTCTCCAAAAATCATGTGTTAAAACTATTTGATATTAATTTGATAAATTAAGCCAAAACTTGCAAATAGTTTTCAAGAATAAGAGTCGAATTGCAATGTCAATCTCTTTCTTTTTTTACTTAACTTTGACAGATGTGTCTACTTAAACACTTCAATTAATTACGTTTATAGACTTTCAATTTTGATTGCAATAATCTATTGTTAAAACTATTAAATATTGATATAATAAACTAAATTAGATTAATAAATAATGATTTGACACGATGTATCAATAAGTGAAAAAAGAATGAAACTAGATACATTTTCTTTTTTGAACAAAATACAATTTTCTCAGACATAAAGATGCAAAAATGTTAAAAGAAAATAAACTCCAATAAGATTGTTAGCCCACCAAATTCTAATCAACTACCTTTTCAACTTATAATTTGATATGATTTAATTTGTAATTCAGATGATAATTCCCTGAAAATATAATTTCATTTTCTATCCAAATCAAGCATCGAACTTCTATTCTTGAAAAATAATTATTTTAAAACGGTTACTCCTAATTTTTTTATTTTTAAAAAAATGACCACAAAATCAAACATCTTGTTTCTTGTTTCCATTTTCAATTATTTTTCAAAATACAAATAAAAGCATTATTTTATCATTCTTGACTTATAAAATACATTATAAATATTTTTACAAATAAATATAACATAAAAGTATATATATTTAATTTAAAAAATTGATTTTCATAGAACTCAAAAACTAAAAATTGTTACTAAACATGTTTCTATTCCTTTATTCCTTGATCGTAAAAAGAAGAAAGAACATGAAACAATTACTACGTACAATTCTATTTTTATTTATTAAAAAATAAAAAATCAGAAACAAGAAACAAGAAACAAGAAAGAAAAATGTTGTCAAACCGACGCTAATCTTTCCAATTTGTATAGCGGGCCAGAGAGAGAACAGGTAAACAAATAATAAAGAGACACGAGTATTCCCATAACATGGCTAGTTATTAAATGGGATTCGAATACAGAAAAACAATTGAAACATGTATTGAAGGGAACCATATCCTTTCATTCATAATACCATAATAACACATCTGTTCTATCATAAAAGTGCGGAGGCCTAGAACATACCTGAAAGGGCCTGTATTTGTGTGGAATCCACAGCACGGTGAAAACCGAACCTCATCGTCTAAAATGCTTACAACTGTACCTGAAAGCTAAACTATTATGGATGGATTTGGATGTTGCTTGTTTGATCTACACAAGCAGCAGAGGTAATTTCAGCAGAGTTCCATTCCCAAAACAGTGTCCAGACATCTGATGCTAAAAGGAAAAGATTAAAGATAAGATGATGGCTGAAAAGATTACTAGTAAAAAACAAAGTTAGGTGGTGGCAGCAGCGGTGTGTAGTAAAACAGACAATGATCATCCTTGATTATAGTTAAGACATCTTAAGATTTAAGGGACGGACTAAAATAAAACTTTTTAATTTGTAAAAATACATATAAAACATTAGGGACTAAAACAAAGAGGAGAACAACTTGTGGATTAATGACTTTACCTCATAAGTCATAACTGAGCTTCATTGTTGCCACTGATCATTGTACAGACTACAGAAAAGCCCACATTCACCATAGCATGCCCATCTGAAGCTATTTCTATACATCCACTGAGTTCAGTCCCCTGAAGAAAGATTAACTGTTTACTTAGTTATTAGATGTTATCCCACCCCGTTACTGCGTGGCCGCTTTAAAGAAACGCCCCGAGGACCGTATGGTCCATACATGCTTAATCCATACCCATTTAAACTGAGGTCTCCTGATGGGGGCTTCTTCTTGTGGGACTTTCTCTGTTTACGTGGAGTGCGCTCTTGAGCGTGCTGCTGCTGCTGCTGCTGGTGGGTGGCATTTTGGTCATGAGAGGGTTTGACTGGCTGGGGAGGCTGCTTCTGTTGGGTGGCATTTTGGTGTTGAGAGGGTTTGACTGCCTGCGGAGGCTGCTTCTGCTCTCTATGGGGATGGGGAGGCTGCTTCTGCTTTCTATGGGGCTGCAGTGCTGACCTTGCATAGACTGAATTAGGTGAAGCCCTAAAATTAGGGCTCAATGGGCCACTCGGGTTTGCTGTTCTAGAATCAGGCAGTGGTAAAAAATTCTGACTTAACGGATCATTCAAAAGTGCTCCATTCACTTCAGGAACAGTAAAATCAGTATAACTCGAAAGTGATCTAAGAAACCAACTTACTGTCTTGTGCGTTCCTACAGACCTCCCAGGTACAAAATTGCTGATCTCAGTTGCATTTACCATCGACGTCAACATTTCTACTGATTCTAATGGAATACCAGTTAAGCCATCATAAGATAGAATGCAAGCCAAGGCATGCATAGAGGCCCCAAGAACAGGAGGAAGAACTTTATTAGGATGTTTTACCTGAAACACAACAAAAAGTCTGTCATAATTATACAAAAAGTGCGAGCAAGAATGTATTATACAAGTCTATCACCACTTACTTTGAATAAGATTGCTGCAGATAATCGCTCTCTCAAGCAGTATAACTGAGCAATATCAAGTGCCTTTGACCAAAAATACAACCAACGGTCAACAACCACAGTTACTGAATTATCAGGGGAGGACATAATCATTTCTTCTGGTTGTTCATTTGATTTATTATCTACATCCATTTTATCTTCAGCTCCACCATTTCCATCATCATCATTTTTAATATTGTCTTTACCGTTATCATTCTCCTTAACAGGGGCAACAGCAATCTCCTTTGCAACCATTAATAATGGGAGAGGCCCAACAACAGTACAGTTTCTTATGTGTGTACCGCCGTCCCCGCGAGTTATCTCATCATAAACAATCAGAGGTCTACTATCCGTTTGACGGAGTGACAGCTCAAAGTTAAGGGACCCTGGGTGCAAAAGAACTCTGCCCCCTGAACTGATTTCTACAACAGCCCGTTTTCCCTTTTTCTGGGGTGGAAGTAATCTTCCCACCATTGGATATAACCCAGCCACAAGGACAGCATGGAGAATGCCAGGGTCACAAGCATTTAAGCTGCAAGTTTTCACACCCTCAGGTATAAAACCATTTTTAACTAGTTCCATTTCGAGTTGTCTCCGCATGCCACACAGCATAGACATAGTGCTTGGAGAGACATAGTAATTAGAACAGAAACGGGCCTCTTGACCCCTTTCTTTAGCATTCTTCCAGCAATCAAATGCAGCTACAATAGCCAATTGATCACTATGCCCACCATACAAAGAAGCAAGCTCCGCTTTAGCAGCAGCGGCTTTCTTTCTTTCACTCGGTGACATGGGAAGAGTGAAGGGGTCCCTGTAGTCAGAAGCACATGCCAGAGTTAGAGCAGGGTCAAGGCAGTTCATCAGTATGGCAAAGATAAGCATCTTGCTTGTTACTGGATGAACAGGCAATGAACCTAATTTCTCCCCAAGCTCAGTCAGTTTCTCATCAAGTGACAAAGCCCCAATTTCCTGAAGGAGTAAGATTGCATTACGGATGGTATCAAAAACTGGAGGGTCCAAAGTCTTCTGCAAGAAAACCTCTATCCTACAATTTGGATCAAGCAATTTCACCTGCCAAATAATATTGGTATGAAAAAGGATTAAAGGGATCCTACGACAATTAGGAATAACAAGGGGGATCCTAATATTTCAATAAACCACATTATTGAGATTTAAATCTGCAAACAATACTTATCACTCTTGAACCAATTTGCATGCAGACCAAGATTGATTAGTGTAGAAGATACACCGATAGATCCAATAGTATTCCAAACGTATAATACAATGGATGGAATATGATTATCTTTTGGCTAATTTCTTGCTAGTAAATGAAATGTTGGAGACAATATGCATGGATATTTGTATCAAGAGAATGTGAAGATATATTAAGTTAGTACAAAATTTTAATAATATCATTGTGCTCATTCCGAGAGAATCCAACCCAAATAAGAATATCATTATCATCTAAACCATTATCACATCCTAAAATTTTGCTCTGCGTATACCTAATATGTTAATGTATATTATTTGAAAAGAAGCGATACAAAAGTGATAACATGTCATTCACATTACATTTATACACATCATAAGTTTGATATATTTTGGGAAATTGAAAAACAGACAAAAGTAGCTATATAAATAGAATATTCTTGCTAACATTAGCCTAGCTGGGTTAAGATATTTCCTACCTCTTTCCTAGAGGTCGAAGGTTCAAATCATCGGCCCTACATTTGTTGTACTAAAAATGCATAAGAATATTCTTGCCTAATCATTTATCAGGGATGACAAGGACAAATAATATTACAGAAGACATGTAGGAATAAAAACACACTCCAAAAAGTATAAAATGAAGTCATATCCAACTCTATGTACAGACCACCATACTACTTACCAGTCTACCTAATACATACATACATTAGCATGACAATTCCAAAGGTATATGATAGTTTGTTACAGAATTTACTCTTCTCATAATTTTTTGGGTTTCCTCAGTTTTTTTTATCACCATAACCACCGCCACTCTCTTCACCACTCCTCAGTCACATTCAGCTTGGTCAATCATGTATCAGAATAACAAACCAGTTTTAGATAGAATGATTATGTGATCTCAGTAAATCTTACTACGAGATAATAAAGAATTAGGCTGAAAAGTGCACCTGCAGACAAAGCTCCTCTATTGGCATTCTCTTAATTTCAGGAACTTGGAAATCAGGAAGAGAAGATGCACGAAATTTCGAATAAAGATGATAGCATATCCCAGGCTGACAGCGACCTGCACGACCCTCTCGCTGCTTGGCACTAGCCTTTGAGATCCAAGAAGATTGAAAAGTGGAAACATTACTGTAAGGATCATAACTTTTTTCTTTCATCCATCCACTGTCTATAACATAAACCACATCATCAATGGTAATGGCCGTTTCAGCAATATTAGTAGAGAGAATAATTTTGCGGCAGCCAGGAGGTGGACGTCTGAAAACCTTCTTTTGCTCTTTAGAGGGAACCATTGAATGAAGACATATTATCAAAAATTTTGATGCATCTTTGAAAAGAGGATTGATAGACAGCCTTTCTCGAGTCTTGCTGATATCATCCCACCCAGGAAGGAAAACAAGGATAGCTCCTTCTTTCGAATCAAGACATATTTTCCCTATCAACTGCTCTATAAGAGAAACATCAACAGAATTAGAATTTTTTGCAAGATATTTACCAATCAACCGTTGTTCTTCCTTGGAGATAGACGTGGAACTTTCCAAATGTTTTCTGATTGCTTCAGCGGTTTCTTTCTGATCTCCTAGTTTAGCTAACTCCAATGCAGTCATACCGTCCTTGGCCCGTAATTCACACATGGCACCAAAAGATAGCAGCATACAAACATTGGAAACTCTACCCTTTCCAGCAAACACCATTAGAGGTGTTAGTCCAGTCACGGAATGCTGATAATTGAGGAGTTGAGAGGATCCATCCTCCACCAATTCTAGAAGGGCGTCAAATTCTTCGTTCAACCAAGCCAAGTGAATTGCTTCATCAAAAGCGAACTTGTCTTCTTCGGTTAGCTCAGGGTCCTCATCTGAAGCACCCACCATATTTTCATCAAGGTGGTTCTCTTCCGAAGATTTCACTACAGAAAGTATATCCTCCAGATATAAATTTTTTACCTGAATATTAAATGTTAGAATATCACCCAAGACTACATACCAATCCAAAACTACAAAGAGTAAAGTGGGACGTTTACAGGAAAGGTGAATCCAGGAACATTGATCATTGGACAGCCACCAAAATATTGTGAAAACCGTCCAGCATCAATAGTAGCACTCATTATTATCTGTCGGGATATAGAACAATAGAAGCATGCATCTCAGTCATAATAAAAAAAAAACAAGCTTCCAAGAATCTTCTATTTTATTGTTTTCTACAATTACAAGTATTTCTTCTCTATAAAATCTATTATCTATTATTAATAGAAGTATGAATAGTTGAAGAGCACAAAAATGTCTCAAGTAAAAGACAAGAAGAATTGAACTAACCAGCCGTAACTGAGGATATGATGGAAGCAAGTCCCTGCAAACAAGTAGCAAAAGAATTGAAGAAAAATATCCAAATTTTTTAATAAAATAAGCAAGCTCAAAATAGGGGACTTAAAAGGTGAAAGAAACACAAACATTTTTTTGAGAGAAACAGAGAGCTAATACATTCAAAAAAGGAACAGAGACAACCAAAGGGCTGGGGTGGAGGTCACCCCCAAAAGGAACTACAGTAAGGCATTTCAATCGTACAAAATCATGAGGAGGTTGTAACTACAAAATAAGTGATTGTGATTTGAACACCACTAAGAAGCTCTACAAACACTATTCCACAAAAAAAACCTACACAGCAAAGGAGTCTTCAAAAACCCATTTTATTCTTTCTTTCCACACAGTCCATAAAATAGTTCTCACCATACAATTCCACAGTGCTGTGTTTTTTAACTTTTTTTTTTTAATGAGAAAAAATTTCATTGATATATGAAATTAGAAGAGATACAGAAGGGAGATCAAAAGGGGAAAAACCCTATCCAAGGGAGTTACAAAAACATCTCCAATTGGAAATCAATTCAGTAAAACTATAATGATGGAAAGATGGAGAACATTTACACCATGAGACGACCAAATAAACAATGGATTCAAAAACATGATCAAAGGGGGGTTCCTTTCCTTGGAAAATCCGATGATTTCTTTCCATCCAAAAAGCCCAAAATCCCGCTAGGACAAAGTGCATCCATAGAAGCCTTTTCTCCTTTGTGAAAGGGTGGCCCATGAGAAAGAAGGCCAGTGCACTGTTTGCTTCATAGGACAGAGGAGTGTACCATCCAAAAAATGAGAGGATTTTGTTCCAAAATTTCATATGGTGCACATGTAAATAAGTGGCCCTGTGATTCTCCCTTTTCTCTACAGAGAATGCACCAATGAGGGGAGATTTGCATATATGGCATTCTCCTTTGGTGTTTCTGGCATTTAAACTAACCTCCCAAAGAAAGAACTTAATCTTTTTAGGGTAATGATCACTCCAAATAGTCTTGTATAGGGAGGGGGATGTTTCATTCGGCAAGGCAGAAGATAAATCACGGGTCAATGAGCTGGTTGTGAAGAGTCCCGATGATTCCATGTATCATATGAAGCTATCTTTGTGTGCGGTGGGTTGTTTACTGTTCAGTAATTGAAGGAGGTATACTAATTCAGCAATTTCGGATTCTTTGAGGTTTCTAATAAACCTAAGATCCCATGCAGTCATCTGTTCATCCCACATTTTTTCTACTGAAATCAACTGGTCAGCAGCCGATGCAAATAAGAGGAGATGTGTGCTGGCTGCAGAGGATATCCTTTGTCAAACAAGCATCCTTCGAAAAAGCTGTGGATTTATCATCACCCACTTTGATGGAAATTCTGTCGAAAATCAATGTTTGAAGCTTCGGTATTTCCTTCCATGGACCAAAGGCTCTTGCTGTACACAAAGTATTTTATTGATGATAGCAATTAATGGGCCCGTATTTAGCATCAATAACCTTCCGCCAAAGAGCATGTTCCTCCACTAAATAACGCCAAATCCATTTGGCAAGAAGGGCTTTGTTCTTGGTTTTGATGTTGCAAATGCCAAGACACCCTTCCTCCAAAGGCCTACTGACTTTATCCCAACAAACCAAACTTTTCCCTTCATTTTCTTTATCCAACCACCATACCAAGGGAACAACAGAATTTGCACTGTAATGCTCTCTGATCCAAGGCTCAAATTTCAGCTGGACAGGAAGTGTCCTACTTGGTACCAATCCTTCACTTTATTAAGGGTTTGTGCTAGTTCCACTCCCTCACATCTAAGAAGGGCTCTGTCAGCCGAGAAAGGAAGTGCAGAAGTCACTAATGTGTTCTTGAAGAGCCCTCATGATCTTAAACCAATTGTCATGAAAGTGTTTTCTGTAGACAATGATGGTTAATACTTGATATCGCATTCAGAGTCACTCTTCATAGTCTATACAGACATGTGAGGACCTGAATCTAAAAGCAGTGTTTGAACTTCCTAGCTAATGATAGAAGCAATAAATTTTGTGGGACAAGCTTTCTTGTGCTTCAGTATGGATAATTTGGTACGCGGAAAATAAATCTTTTTAGCATCCAAACAAGAACTTAGAAGAAACTAAAGACTATTTTTATATTTTTAATTTATTTTTAGCTTCTAGAAGGAGTTTCTTATCAAAGCATCTAAATGGCATACCAATTGGAAAATCTTTTTGTAATGTTCTCTGGTAAGGGCGAGATATTACTTATTTTTTGCCCATTGCTTACAGAAAGTTTGTTTCTCGAAATAACATACAAGAGTTTTATTCTCTATGGGAAAAAATACAAGTGATAAATAGCTCATTTATATGAGAGAATCAACGGAGTTTTGTTCTTTATGGGGAAAAGAAGACAAGTGATAAATAGCTCAGTCATATGAGGAGATCAACGGAAGTAAAATATACCTCAAAATTGCTAAAATGAAGTCAGAATAGCGATCCCTTTCATGAACCTCATCCTACAAATGTACAAATAAGAACAGCAATAACAACTTAAAGGCCAAAAGAGACTTGTGTTCATAATTCAAGGATGGAACAAGAAATATTGCAACATTAACTAGCATCAGAGACTATATCAGAGGAGGTTCTTTTGTACCCTCCTCAAGATAAAAGAAAGTTGATTTTTTTTTTCTTTTATTCCTTCTATAGCATGATGTGGAATATTTTGTTAGAAACGAAAACAAGAGTATTCTCGAGATACACCAAAACATCTAGCTGTAAATCCTACAAATTCAAAGCAACAAACGAAACATGAAAAAAAATGACGAATTCAAAAGCAACAAATAGAATACATACCACAATAATGTGAGTTAAGTCAGACACAACATTTTTCCTACTTTTTTCTGGAGCTTCCGTAGTTAATTTGCCCAAACCTTCAGAAATCAACACTCTTAAAAGGATACCATTTGTGCAGAGTACAATTGACGAGTGCCTCCCACCTTTACTTTCCAATCGAATCTTCCATTATGGAAAAGAGAATGTCAGCTAATATTAATGTCTATGAAAGCAAAAATAACCAAGATAGATATATATAAAAGTAAAATTTTCGAAAAGTGCCTATGACTGATGAGGAATAACTGCTATCTATTCCAATTGTAATGATAGGGTCCTATCATATTTCCATCATAAGAAACATTTTCCCAAAATCAGTTACTTCAAGATAATGATAACAACCAAAGCCTCCCATTGGAACCCCAAAGGAGAATAAAATTTTCTACTAGATGGCAATTAGATGTATTATTCTCTACTAGATGGCTAATTAGATGTATTTTGTGTAAACCACCAGCAAAAAGAATACCTTGTATCCAACATCAGTTCCAACATTTTCTCCTCTTTCATGGGAGATCCGCTCAGAAACTAAAACGGAAGAAGACAACAAATTCAAAGAAATGGAAGTAAAAATGACAAATAATCGAAACTAAATGTAAAAAATTAATTTTAAAAACAAAAGAGGCCCCAGGAAAGGCAATAAGTGGAGCAAACCTGATGTAGCAGATATTCGCCGAGGTTGAGTACAGACTATCTTACATGCCTCTCCCTTACCCCACATATAATCCATGAGAAACTGGGGGACCTACACCATATTACCAGGAATTATATAGAATATAATGCAACAATAAGAACTTAATCCTGAGCAATTTGTTTAAATTTTATTGTTAAAGAATTTACAGAAAAAGGGTACTCCTCTCACCCCAACATTGCAAACACATAAAAAGACAAACCAATAGATCTTAATGAAATACGCCATATCCGAACATGAAAGATAATCGAGCTTAAAGAAAAACAGCACTATGATGGTTGTCATAATTTTTCTCTCACTATTCACATTCAAAATGCAAAGCAAAATAATCAGGATAATTTATGTGCCAGCTGCTAATTTACTAAGGACTGGATTTTACTATAGAACAAATGGATACTACGCCCTAGGACTATGAATGAGAACCTCAATATTTGTAGAGTAGGGGATGGATATCTCGTCCAAACTTCATATCTTTTTCTTACATCAATAAAAGTTATTTTTCTTATAATGTCACCAGAGACGGACAGACCCTAAAAGGCCAAACACCGTGCAACTCATATACAGGCCAAAGACAGACAGACCCTTAGGGGTGAATATACCTATTAGGAAAAAGAAATCATTGCAACCAGAATAGAGCTTTTGGCAAGCAATGATGAATTCGAGAAGGAAAAGAAAACAATTGCAATCACTATAGAGACAGAATGAGTTACCTGTGTTGTCTTTCCACATCCAGTCTCACCAGATATGAGAACCACCTGCTTAAAGCAAAGATCAAACAGTTCACACCAGTTGATATGAGAAGCTAGAAGACCAACCAACAATAACTTCCAAAGAAATACCTAAAAAATTCTTAACAACGGAATTTTTTTGGCAGTATTAACGTGATATGTAATGTAAATTTGAATGCTGGGCAGGAGAAATGCATATTAAAAGCAACCTGGTGAGATTCAACTGTTGATGTAATGA